TGTATGCTTTGTAAGTTTGTTTCGTAACGGAAGAAATTTAAATATATTTATAAAACTGATAAGTCAAATCAAGCAATCTTATTGGTCGATAGCGTTTTTGCGGACCTCTTTGATTACAGATTTGAAACATCGTTGCTTGCTTTAAAAGTAGCACAATTCATTATGTTAAACCTTCAAAAGTATCTAGATATCCCTGCCCTAATGCCAAAGGAACTGCACACTGAATATGTTTTGCTGTTTGATGTCTATGTCTGGACCGCTGCGTCAAAAAGGAGGGCTGCAGGCAGTTTGCTTTTCAGCCCAAGGGTATACTCTTTTTCTCAGACGCGGAGGGATACTGACTTGTTGTGAAAAGTAACTTACAATTCTACCCGTGGTATACGCTCAGTATATCACGGCTAAGAACCAATCAGATTGCTTGATTTGACTTGTCCGTTTTATAAAAGTCTATACGTTTTTTTTTTTTTTTTTTGTCACTCTATGAGTCATGTGCGAAAAACTGTATAGTTATTCATCTTAACGAACCTAACTCGTGTAGTTTGTTATTGGTCTTTGTGCGTGCGAATGGTCTGTAAAGGCTAACATCCTAAATGTTCCATCCTGAGGGGGTTTTTCTCTCACACACTCCCCCCCTGCCTGAACCGCCTCCATTGGACTCCTTTGTTTACTTCTGTAACATAATGGCATCACTATTTCACACTAGTGCTCCAACACATTGTACGTGCTAAGGGGCGAGACTCTTCTAAGCAGTTGAACTGATACAACAGAGCTGTCCAGCTAACCAATCAGAACAGACTGGGCTCTGGTTTCAGACAGAGGGTGAAAAGAGGTGCTGCATTTAAAACAAGTCCTTCTTGTCCTCCCTATGCGCTTTTTCCTTTGATTTTCGTGCATGTCTTAACTATTTCTCCCCTTCCTGTATCCCTATGTGTATCCCTCTCCAACAGAAATCATGGCGGTGGACAGCATGCTGCCCAGCCCCTCCTCTCTCTCCTCCCCCATGCTGGGCATCGAGGGTCTGTCAGGCCGTCGCAGGAAGAAACGCACTAGCATCGAGACCAACGTGCGAGTAGCCTTAGAGCGCAACTTCTGCATGGTAGGAGACTGACTTATTAAGTATGAAGAAAACTCTATCTCGAAGTCTTCACAGGGAGGCACCGCAGATATGACCACCAAATGAAATCCTGGCATTTGTAGAGAAAGAAATCTCAATGCATATTGAATTTCTAAAAGAAATGGTGTTTATTGGAGTTCTCACCTGTACACAATTATGCCACTCGTAGATTCAAGAACGGAGTCTCATTGTATGTAGCAAAGTACTAAGTAAAAGTGCATTTAGACGTTTGAAATAAAAACTTTTTTTAAAAAAAACGATTTTTGTCATTTTGACACAAAAACATTATTAAAGATTAATCCTAAAAATAAAGATAACATTCAATTGACTGTTATCAGTTGTTATCAGTACCATCTGCTCTTTCCTGCACTTTGTGAAACCGTCCGAGTTTTAAACACATGTTTAGCATTAAAAAAAGGACCTGCTCGGTTAGGTTTAAGATAAGAACATGGTTTGTTACATACATAAGTAAGTAAATAACAAGTGTACTTACCTGGGGTGATATAAGTCAATATGTTGATTTATGGGGGGGTTTCACACAGGACATGAACAGTTGTCTCCTGGGAGAAATCCATGTGTTTATTGACCTATCTATCCACCCCCACCTCTTCCCTATGTGGACTTTTGAGCTCTTTATTTTACGCCACCTGACATCCAATTCTGATCCTCTCATAATCACTACAGCCACTGATCCAGCCTACCATGAACGCATATTAGTAATACGCCCTACTTAAGCTCGGAGGTCAAGTGTGGCCACAAGACTTTATATCTAAGCTACCTATGACAACTAATGACGGCCATTAAATCAGAAGATAAGATGAGCCAGGTTGTCATAATAGACCCCGAGTTTTTGCATATAAGGGTTAGGTAGGTTTGGTTTCATTATCTTCTATTCTGTAAATGTCTTCAATGTTTTCCTCCCCAGAACAATAAGCCTAACTCTGAGGAGATCTTGCTCATGGCGGACCAGCTCAACATGGAGAAGGAAGTGATTCGTGTTTGGTTCTGCAACCGCAGGCAGAAAGAGAAGCGCATCAACCCCTCCAGCAGCACCACCCCTCCCCTGCCCTGCCAGACCTCGCCTGTTGTGTCACACAGAGCCCCCTGCTACAGCCCGCACATGGTACAGCCCACCATACATCTGCTAACTCTTTCTTTCATTTTACACATCCTTATATTTGCTTCACACATGGATGGTATTTTCTCCTGACTTCTCTTTCCCTCTCTTCCTCTCCTCCAGATCTCGAGTCATGGTCTGTCCCAGGTCACCACCTGTCTCAGCACAACAGGTGAGCAGTAATTACTGTTTGTGTCTGTGTAGAGTCTCCTCAATTACATATTAAAGGTCTGCGCGGCGCTTCCCAATTGTGTTTTTGGAACCCTGAGGTCGGTCACGGGAAGATTAAACTGGTCCTGGCGTTATTTGGAAGAAGCTGATGAAACGCCGAAGAATCATCACTTTAAAAAATCATTTCAGCGAGAGGAGATGGAAAACAATGATGTTTTTGTTGACAACCACATGGACGTCCTGGTCCCATCTTGAGTTGTTGTCCTCCCTGAGTCATGATTTATAGAGCTGGGCTTACAGTGTGAGTGATCCCAGGCTTCACTGATATGACAGATGGCCTGGCAGGTAACAAACACAGTAGGAAATGTATTGGCCCGTTGAGCCACGGATAATACCATCCAAACTTCTCTCTCCAGTCTGCAGCTGAACAGAGTTAAAGAAGACGCTGAAGAAGCTTTTGATGAAGATCTGTGTCACACAAGTGTTTATTTAGAAATAGCGCTGTAACTCATTCGCACTGCATGGCACCAACATCCCTCTTCTTCTTCTTCTCTCCCCTCAGCCTCCAGCCCTTCGGCCTCCTGCCCCATGACTCCCGTCAGCTCGGCCGCAGCAGGCTCCACCTCTTCTTCTGTGACCTCCCCCCCTCACAGCACAGCTAGCCCCGCCCCTCCCAGCTTCGCCGGGGCCCTTGGGTTCAACACCGGGTGAGTGTTTATCTTGTGGTTATCGTTTAAGATGTAACATTGTTTAAGAAAATATTTTATCCAAAATTCAGAGAAATATGCATTTTCATGTCAGGACTAACAAAGTTTTTGGATGAAAGTAGAAAGAAAAAGTAGATCAACATAAAATGTGTGCTTAAAGCAAATGCGAAATTATCAAACATGTCTCAAACTAATAAATAATTTGGGTTTCTTAATTAGTATTATTGTAAAATTGCCCCAACTTTGAGACTTTATAAACACATATTTTGTCAAATCAATTAATTATTCAAATATAATATGAAGTTACAGCCCTAGATAAAAGAGAGAAACTTGTTTCATTTAAAATATATGGACTAATTCCTTTTTAAATATTTGTTGTTTAACTTGATCAACAAGTATCAATATTTTATATGTTTTTCTACACATTATGGAGCGTTTGACACCACCGGCAATACAAAACATGTTGAACTACACCTGAGACATGCTAAGCTGCATGTCGCAGAGAAATCTGAGGTATTCTGCTGTTAAAGGTCAGACTGCTGCAGCACCAGTTTGACTGCAAATCTGCATGAGACGCACACAAAGTGATATATGTACGGCATATACAGCAGGTAGGGCATGCAGAAACATGTGAGGAACTGCTCGGGCCACCATTACACATTACAAATGGCTGTGTCACAATTTAACCAGGATCTTGTGGCTTTTTGCTTCTTTGGTCACATGCCATCTTCTGAGAGCCAAGGGTGACAGGAAGTTCAAGTTCCAGTTTATTTAAAATTGACTGGTGGAATAAGTTATTGCATATCAAATTAATTATATGGATTTGATAATATTGCCTTTGTGTGGTAAAAAAAAAAAAACATTGCGGTTGTGACATCCCTACATCAATTACAAGGCAAGAGTTTAAAACGTCTGCATAACTGATGAGTTCATTGGAAGAACATCACTTAAAGAAGAACTATTTCCCTTTCCTGTAGTGAGTTATATGGGTTTTTGTGAATGGTCCGCAGAGGCTAAAATCCCCATGTTACTTCCAGAGGGAGTTTCTCTCCCACACACTCCCTCCCCCTGTCTGAAATACATTGGACTACTTTGTTTACTTCTGCAACATAGTGACAGCACTACCTAACACTCGTGTTTCTATTGGCTAGCGCTCCAACACATTTTACGTGATAGGCTAAGGGGTGAGACATCTCTAAGTGGTTGACCAATCACAACAGAGGCGGCCAGCTAACCAATCAGAGCAGACTTGGCTCTGGTTTCAGACAGAGGGTGAAAAGAGGTGCTGCAGCACAGGCAGTATGAGAAAAATAAAGCGCTTTTTGAGCATTAAAGCATGGAGACATGTCACAGTAGAGACACAAAACAAAAATATGAACCTGACAATGGGCACAATAGGGCCCCTTTAACCTGTCAAATCCTTTTCTAAGTGTGAATTTCCCTATGTGAACTTGCGGTCGATCCACGTTTCAGGAACACAATGATGGGACTAAGCACAGGGATGACCCAGGCCCTCATTGGCAGCAATTCCCTGGCTACCATGCAAGGTCTGTGTGCATGTAAGTGTGTCGGTGCATGCAGCCCGTCCCCTCCAGCCTAGCGAGTCTTCATGAGTCTCCATTTTCTAAAGACCACTTCCCATTTCACCCTTCATCCATTCTGTCCAAAATGAATTTCCTTGCAGCCTCACAGGACAGTAGCCGACAGCTAACGCGGCTCAGTCCTCCTCCTCCTCCTCCTCCTCCTCCTCCTCAGCACAAACTTTGTGAATTGCTCAGTATGGTGAAAGATTCAATTTGATTCTCATACAATAGCCTGCTATTATCACAGAGTGACAAGAGCCCCTTATGGCAAAGCTTAGGAGGCCAAGTCAGCTTACAGTAAACAGTTGAACAGGCACAATCCCCTCCCTCTCAATATCCAGGCCTGGTGGCTAAATAGCCAGTTTCCACTCAGAAATCTCCTTTTTGAAATCAATTAAGCATCACGAATAAGGTTTGTTGAGCTCCGCTTTGAATCCTTCCTGTGATCCATCTGCCTATAGCGCCGATTCAGACCTTCTCGCTGTGTTCGCTGCCATTCAGAGGCCGCCCCCTCCAGGCCGTGTGTTGATGAGAAGGATACAGTCTGTTATGGAAACTGCAGCTCTGGCTCTCACACAGCTATAGGCTGAGGGAGGGGGAGAAAGAGAAGCCTTGATGAAAAGAGGGGGTTGAAATGTAGTGTTGACGTGAAAAGGATTTGCGGTTTGAACCCCTCAGGGGCCACACACACGCTATGAATGTTTACACTCATGGTGCTGCAATGGATTATAGTGTTGACGTTTACACTGGAATTCAAAAGTTGGCATGTGTCACTCTCACTGATATACGGGTTATTCTGCAGAGAGATCAAATATTATTTTCAGTTATGGGGTCTCATTGCAATATAGTATAATGATGCCTGGAACATTTCAATATAATATCTAAAGTAAACTAACAGGTCACCTCCTACAGTAAAACCTGTCCGGTGCATATAGTCAAAAGTAAATGTTCACTCTTTAATAAACATTCAACTCAGTTCTCATCATTCCTTTCACCATGTGTAGTGAATAGCCATCTCCATCTTCATCCTGTCTGTCACTAACACTCAGTGTCGTTGCATTATATGGTTGAGTATTCATCCCCTGAAAATGTCAGTAGAAATATGTTCATCTGTAAGAATGACCATAACATTGATACTTCATTGTAAATGTGTCTGTAGCATTGAAAATAGGTTTAATGTCCCTTAATGCACAGAATACAGAACTATGGAAATGATTCTGGTATTGGTTTGAAAATAGTTTCATTGTGAATTGGGTGAACCGACAGGACGACTGATAATAATATTTGGTATTCTATCGAGGAGACGATGTATTGGAAACGTTCCTAGTTTCTGTGTTTCTAGTCATTGTGCAGATTCCCCCTGTTACTGATGTGTCTACTTCCTCTCTTCAAATCTTCACTCCTTTTTGTCCTCTTCTTCAATTCTCCCTTTGGTCATCTTCCTCTTCGCCTCTCCTTCTTTCCACGGTCTTTCTGACTTCTCTTTATCATTTGTTGCCTTGTTTGTCGTTTTCTATTTCTATCGCTCTGCTTTCTTTCTATCTTTTTGTCGCTCATCTTTCTCCTCCTCTCTTGTACCTCTCGTTCCATCTTCCTGCTCTTCCTCCCTCCCTGTCCTCGCTCTTCTTCCTCACAGCCCTAGTGTCGAGCAGTGGTCAGCTTCCCATCACCAGTCTGGATGGGGGGGCAGCCCACATGCTCCTGGGTGGGCCTGGGGGTACCGGCGTCCCTCCATCCCTTCGCTCCTCACTCTTCCTCAATCATCCAGCCCTCCTCCCCATGGTGACGGGCTCCATGGCGACAGCCTCCACGACTGCCATGTCCCTGGCCAGCAGCAGCGGCGGGGGTGGTGGCCTGAGACTCCCCTTCCCCCAGTCCCCCCCCCCTGGCACCAGCAGCCTCATGAGCCCCACCACATGCCACGAGGAGTCCGCTTCTCCATGTTCAAGTCCCGCCTCTTTCTGTTCCTTCAGCGAAGCCTCACCTCCGCCTCTGGGAGGGGCCATGGCCGAGTGATCTCTGACTGACAGCCAAAGCATCCTATCAGAGGAGGACGAGGAGGAGGAAGAGTTTAAGGAGCTTTAAGAAATCTAAATGTACAACCTCGCCTTTCAACCAAAGCCATCTCTCTGTCTGATCCATCTCCGCTTTCGTCTCTCTCTTTCTCCCCGCTGAAGTCTTCTGAAGCCAAAAATATACACGGACGGATGACGGGAGGAAGCAAAGAGAGAGGGATGATGGAGGGGTTAGAGAGACCTGCAGAACAGAGGGGGAGGATTTGAAACCAAATAATGATCTACAGCTGGAGAGGTGGCACTGAGGAGTGTTTTTGCTCGGCATCGGGGAAACGGAACAGCATGCTTTTTATCGGCTGGAGAAAAAATGAAACTCGATGAGGGCAGGGATGAGAAGCGAAACTGTGTGTGAGAAATGGGAGGCAAAGAGAAAAGACTTGTTTAACAAGCTCAGAAAGGTCATGTGGTTGCAACCAAATTTAAAAAGAAAATGATGCTAGAGGGAAACACACTTACTTACAAAGATGAATAACCAAAATCTCCAAATACCAAAAACTGTAAACCAAAAAACTACAAACGGAGAGAAAAGCTTTAGTTCAGAAAGACTTTCTGATCTGTCCAGGTTCAGTTCATACTCCATACAAACATTTCCCATTTCACTCAGGATTCCTTTATCCTCTTTTTTAGTTTTAAAAGCATTTCTTTTCTATTAGGTTTTCATTTATCACTTTTATAATACTATTTCTTGACAAATATGTGCGTTCAATGTTTCACAGATGATCCCAGATGCAGGATGTCTGACTACCTCTTAACAGCTTGACAGTGATGAACACAGCTTACATCAGAGTGTTTGTTTTAACCAGCCTGTCGTGACAGACGGGTGGGGTTTACTATGTAGCAAAACCCACCCTTCTGGTACGTGAATAGGATAAAACAGACATTACGTTCAAATCCCATTTGACTGAGTTAAAAATGACTTTTTTTGGTTGTTTAGCTGTTTAAAAGATTCAGATTATTTGGAGGGATTATTTAAAACCTATTTTTCTTTTTAATCACCATTATCATCATCACCAATGGTCTCATTAATATTGTTCTTGTTCAAACCGAGGTATACACACTGCACAAAGATGATACCACCGGCAGATGTAGACAGTCTTGGGATTTTATTCAGCATTAGAGGTCGTCTTTTATTTATTATCACCCCATACCATCGCCATGTCATCTTCCAGACTGCTCATCTACCACCAGACAGTCACTCTTGGATACCAAAGCATCGCCTCCGGCAGCGTAGTCTCTTGATTCGCCCGGGAGACGAGTGTCCAGACAAAACCTCAGCCTTGTCAAAGGGAAAACACACACACACACACACACACACACACACACACACACACACACACACACACACACACACACACACACACACACACACACTACAAGCATAAGAAGGAGTTCAAACCAAAAAAAAAAAAGAACAAAAGAAAAAGGTGAAGCACCGGCTTTCCCCTAACTGCCCCCAAACCCCTGCCCTCCATCCCTCCCTCCCATCCGCCCCTCTCCTTTGTCTCCAAAGATCAGATCAAAAGGCCAAAAGAAGAGAGGAGAAGAAGAAGAGGAGGAGAAGCGGTCAGGAGCGAAGGAGCCAAAGGTAAAAAAGCTGCAGGGGGAAAGAAGAAGAAGGAAGAGGAGCAGGAGGAGGTGCGCTCGAAGCGGCGGACCACAAAACCAAAAAGTAACCCAAAACCAAAAGCTACTACTACTGCTACTTATGATGTATGAGTGACTGAACCGTAACTAAACCAAATACAAACAAAGAGAGGGAGGACGAGGGGAGAAAAGGGGGGAGAAAGGCCCTGTCTGTCTGTTTGTCTTCGCTGTGATTGCTGTTCTTGTCTCGGCAGACAGAAATCGTTCCCTCCCTCCCTCCCTCTGCCAGCGACCTCGGCTTTGTTCTCACTTTCCTTTTTTCCTGGATGGATAAAAATATGGAATAACCTCAAAAAACTGACTTTGAGAATATATATATTTTTGTTTTTGCTTACCATAGTGTGTCTGTTACTGATGTATGAATTTCTCTCATTGCTTTCTACTTATTATGCGGCGGGAGGGAAGGGGGGAGGGGCGGGTTTTGGCGACGTGTTGCCTACTTTCATATCTTCTTGTCTTTTCGGTTGTGCTCTGGATTTTTTTAATTTGTTGGACAGAACTGTGAACATGTAGCCTCCAAGTCGTTTTTTTAAAGTTGATCCAGAATGTTGTGAAAAAGCCAAAACTGAAAACCAAAAGCAAATCTTTTTAGACATACAACCAAACCAAATAGAACAACCAAACCAATGCACAAGGTGTACAAGAGGTGTGTGTGTGTGTGTGTGTGTGTGTGTGTGTGTGTGTGTGTGTGTGTGTGTGTGTGTGTGTGTGTGTGTGTGTGTGTGTGTGAGTGTGCGTGTGCGTGTGTGTGTCTGTGTGCTTGTGTGAGCATGTGTGTGTGTAAGATAATTCAACTGTAAAACACAACAATACCCTCTTCTGTCACATGCAGGACAAAATAACATCACTGAATGCTTATTTTGGACGGTTAAAGCAAAGCTGGTTTTCAACCTGGACCCGTTTTCATACAGTTTTCACTTCCAACTTTGTTTCTCTGCAGGCTTTAAAAGCAGAACATGTATAATAGAAACTCCAAAAGTGGAACCCATCGGACTCCAAGTAAAGTTGAGTTTATTTATGATCAGATAACCTTGAATATGTATTTAAGCAGTGGGCTTAAGCAGTGGGCTTTTGAAGCTTGACTGCCTCTGTCATTCATATCTTTTAACAGATACAGATGTTAAAAGTTTAAACATGTTGAAAAAACACTTTTCGCCACATATAGCTTTTAGAGAGTGAAAAAGAAAGTCCAAAGACTTCACTGTTGGTTTGAAATAACATACATTTATTATCAAACTGCAAACCATATTGTAAGCAATTGTACACGACATTGTGTATTCTTGTTCATTTCAGAATGATTGAAAATCACATCCTTTGTTTCTCCCCAAAGTTATTGTAAGAATATGGATTACATGTTCACAAGTTATGTGACCCCTAAAACAGACTTAGAATCTTTAAAAGGCCAATAAATGCAGCACTCCGTGATCTTCGTTCAGATCTAAAATCACACATTTTCCTTGAACGCATCACCATAGTGAGAACAGGCGTTTTCATGTATTGAAATGCTGAAGCAAACCAGTAGTCAAATGTCTAAAAACTGGTTTTATACTTTAATAAATTATGACTAATAAAGTATGTTTAAAATGTAAGTTAATGGGCAAAAACATGTTCCGTTAAATACCTCTACAGTGAAGCACTTCATGTTAATTGGTCAATTTGATGGAAGGAAAACTCGAGGCCCAGGTTGAAAAAAGAGTTAAGTTTTGAATGTCAAACACACAGGGAATTGAAAGCAACCAATGACAAAGATGATATGGGGAGGGGAGGGGGGGGGGCGCTGACGTCTGAGACGGATTAAAGGCTGAGGCCGTCCACTTTTAGAGGGAATGTATCCATTAGTTCTTCTAGGTTTTTGTAGGGGGAAATAATCTATGTTCAATTGCTCTTACTTGTTGCTGATGTATAAAAAGGCTGGGATTATTATCCTTTGATGATGATGACCGAAGACGATGACTTGACCAAAAGCTTTAAAACTTTATCTCTCACGGGCTCTTTGTTGAAAAAAATATTTGTATTTATTGTATGAGGGAGGTGTGTGCTTTTTTCGGGGGATGGGAGAAGTGGTCCGTTTGTATTTTATTAACTTCCTTGTCTCACCTTTATTTATTGACTCTTTATTTATGTATTTATTGGATTCTATTTATGTCTGGATCTTTGTAATAGTTTTTCAGGGGTTGTTGTGAGGCTTGTATCTGCAGAGAGGGGTGTTCTTGAGATCAAGACAAGAATAGAAGATGCCAAACGAATGTTTCAAAGCAAAACCAAACCTAAAGACTGTTGTCTTGTAACCTGAGACGGAGAAAGAAAGTAGCCGGGAAACTTTGACGGAGGAAAGCTATGTTTTTAAATTAGCTTAGTTCACTGAGTGTGTTACGGTTTTCTAACTTAGAGTCGGTGATGTTTACTTCCCTATTTCTTTTTTTCAAAACTTTTGAAACCTTGTGTTTCTCATTTTGGATCAGACGTGGTTACATGGTTCTGTGTTGCACTAGCTATTTCCTAATTCCAACTAAGCTTTTGGTTAATGTTTACAAATTGAAGATTTACACATAAGTACATTTAATTTAACTAGATCACACAAAGTTAATCTTAGGTAGAGATTAATGTTACTAAATATTTACACCCAGTAAATGTCGGGTGTAGGTGTTGCATTGCTAACGAAACTAACCGAGCAAAGCTAACGCTATCTTGCTAACATGTGACCTGTTAAGATTTAATAGTAAAAGAGCTAATGGTTGACATGAACATAGATTAAAATAGGATTTTAAAAAATGTAACCTTAGAAGTTTTACATTTTAGTTCACAAAAAACACAAAACACTTTGCTAATAACAACTAGCTAAATAGCATTGTTTAGGTTAGCATAATTGAAAATGAATACTACAAACTATTTCTTCATGTATAATGAAATAAATAGACACCAGGTTGGGGGTTTAGTATTATATGAAGATAGAGTCCTCAAAGCTTGTAATTTTGTCGGCTATGTCACAGCTTGTGATGCTAACGGAGACTTCCTGATGAGATGATGATTCACATGTTTCCTCACAGTCTTTATTTCCTAAGTCTTCCCCACAAAGATTTTTTTTTTACACTTGTTAGTGCAGCCTTATTTAGTAGAATGAATTCCTAAAACAAGTTAGTTGTTGCTAAGAACTTTGTATGGAAGCCCATTTCAGCAAAAGTGATGAAACATAAAAGTTTCTTGAGAAATGTTCTCAAAATTACGAGTCTCTTAAAAGTAGTTTCAATATTTGGAGAAATGTTCTCTTTGATTGAGGATCTGCTTTCCATCGTAGGG